GGGCTGCGAGGGAAGCCCGGGTCCGGGGTGCCTGCTGGTGGCGGAGGGAAATCTGGTCCTGGGTTCCAGAGGGAAACCGGTGCCGGCAGCTGGGGGAAGGAAGGCCTACTCCTGCACGAATTTCATGCATTCAGGCCTCTCGTAATTATATGTGTGTATAATTCTCTCTGTGTAATTGTATGTACGTAACCAGCAGAAGTGTGTGTGTGTGAGTGTGTGTGAGTGTGAGTGTGTGTGTGTGTGAGTGTGTGTGTGTGTGTGAGTGTGTGAGTGTGTGTGTGATTTTGAGTGTGTGAATGTGTGTGTGTGAGTGTGTGTGAGTGTGTGTGTGAGTGTTGTGTGTGTGAGTGTGTGTGTGAGTGTATGTGTGTGTGTGTGAGTGTGTGTGAGTGTATGTGTGTGTGAGTGTGTGAGTGTGTGTGTGTGAGTGTGTGTGAGTGTGAGTGTGTGTGTGTGAGTGTGTGTGTGTGAGTGTGTGTGTGAGTGTGTGTGTGTGAGTGTGTGAGTGTGTGAGTGTGTGTGTGTGTGTGTGTGTGTGTGAGAGAGTGTGTGTGAGTGTGTGTGTGTGTTCTTAGTGTTCACTGCTTGCATGTCTTTGTTCCTAGTTACTGGACCCCCTGGCCTTTGGTCTTTACTCACTGAAGTCATTCTTTGTTTCCCGATGGGGGCGTTCTCCTCCACCCCCGATAACACTTGGGGTTACGTGTTCTCATTGGCCACCCTGGGCTTGTGTTCATTCTCCGGCGATCTGTATCTTGGCACGGATTGCATCGCTGCCGAAAGTGGCCAACACTTGACCATCTGCAGCCAGTGCTTTCCCACGGGGTCGTTCCCAGACCCCGGGAGAGTGTGTGAGCCTGGCGGCACCGCCCTCTCCGCCACGTGACCACGCTTGGCACACGTGACCACGCTTGGCACACGTGACCTGTGATGGCACAGTTCACTTGTGCATGCAGCCTGACAGATGTCCTTTCTGAGGCATCTCATTGGATGGGGTCTGCTAACCCATCTAATGGGGGAAAGAAAAGAGAGTTTGAAGAATTATTATTATTATTTTTTTAAGGATTAAATGTATGCCATTTAGCTGTTTGACACCTGTGGTTAATGTGTTTTCTTAGAAGCCTATACGGTTCTTCACACGGGTGTCAAAGTGTCTTCAGTGAGAATGATGGTATGTAGACTCCTCGGGCTGGAGTGGCCGTCCTGGGATCACAGATGGGTTATAGTCTGTGCTGTTCCATGTTCTCCTGAGCCCTGAGGCACTGAAGTGAAAGAAGGGTTTCTCCTTCCCTTCCCCCTCCCTCCCTCCCTCCCTCCCTCCCTCCCTCCCTCCCTCCCTCCCTCCCTCCCTCCCTCCCTCCTTTCAGTACATCGTGGCGCGTGTTTAGTATTTCGGGCATGGCTGTTCTGGGGGAGCCAGTGTTCTTGGGGAGCAGTGAGAGCCCTTCCTCCCTCATGGGCCCTGGGTTCTCAGTAATCTAACGTGTTCGCGCGTGTCACTGTCTCTCAGGTCACACATCTAACTGCACACAATTTTTCTGAAGTTCACTGTCCTGAGACCATTGTATTAAAGACTGGCCCCCAGAGGCCCTTCTGCTGGAAGAATCAGGTCTGTTCTTACCCAAACAAGGAAAGGAGGGTCGTATTTAAAAATAAGATAAATAAAACCACACTAGCATCACTAGGTCATGTCACATGGGGAGGGACAGCCCTTCCTGCCTCATCAGGTCACCACCGCCCCCACAGCAGGGGGCACAGATTTAACAAATGAAAATACACAATGCCCAGGTAAATCTGATGCTAAAAAGAAAGAATCCAATTTTTAGTATAAATATATCCCAAATAGTGCATGGGACATACTTATACTTCATTTTTTTTTAAAAAGGTTGTTAATTTGAAAGTCAAGTTTAACTGGGTGTCCTCAATTTTTTTAAAGAAAAGATTTTAAAATATATATATTTTTTATTTTAGAGAGGAAGGGAGAGGGAGAGAGAGAAACATCAATGATGAGAGAACACTGGCTGTCTCCTACACATCCTTTACTGGGAATTGAGCCCGAAACTCTAGCATGTGCTCTTGACCTGGATTGAACCTGGGACCCTTCAGTCCTGAGCCAAACTGGCCAGGGCATCCTGTATTTTAATTGTTAATTTTTTAAATATATTTTTATTGATTTCAGAGAGGAAGGAAGAGGGAGAGAGAGATAGAAGCATCAGTGATGAGAGAAGGATTGGCTGCCTCCTGCACGCCCTACACTGAGATCGAGCCCACCACCTGGCCCTGACCTCCTGGTTCAGTAGATCAACGCTCCACCACGGAGCCACGCAGGCCGGGCTGGGTGTCCTGTGTTTGATCTGATGACCCTCCCGCCCTGCACCAGTGGCCCGGCCAGCTGGGCAGGAGGAAGACGTGGCCCGTCACCTGTGAGTCTTTGAAGCATCTTTGTGGCGAAGATACTTTACCCCAAACAGTGCAGAGACCTTTGCTTCGGTGTGAAAGGATTGATTACATGTTCCTGCCGATCGGCAAGTGTTTCCAAATGAAAAGCCACTCCTGGAGGCCTGGTGTAGGTGCAGAAGCTACGGGGGAGTGCCCTGTGGGTCTAGCGTGGCATGTCAGGTGCCAGCTTTGCCCGTTACCTGGACCCCAGAGCCACCTGCTTGACTCCAGGCAGCGCCAGGGCCACCATCCTGTGGCTTATCCTCTGTGGTTCACCCTCCAGGGCTCACCCTCCGTGGCCCATCCTCCGTGGCCCATCCTCCGTGGCCCGTCCTCCGTGGAACGTCCTCCGTGGCTCATCCCCCGTGGCATTGCTGGCCTGGTTGCTGGGCTTCCTCGTGTCCCCAGGGCAGATGCTAATTAATGGAGACAACTCGCAGCTGATGAGCGGTCCCTCCTTCTGTGATTACATCCCCGCTCACTGTGCAGAGGGGGGCTTTCTAACCCAGTTCTTACTTCACTCGGAGCTTCATTTGTGTTTCGAATTGTTTGGGCCCTTGGTTCACTGGCCATTTTATTTTGTCTGTGTTGTTTTAGGTGCTGATAGATAAAAAGTGAGTTTAATCTTTAAAAAAATACTCCGCGATAGTGAGCCGTTTGCTGTAAATGGATTTCTAATGCGCCAGCAGAATCTTCCTTTAAATAAGGGGAAAGTAGGTTCTGGCGGCTGTTTGGGGGGCCAGGATTGGTCCATGGAATGCACCAATCGTGACCTGCGTTCTCATACGTATTTACATACAGAACATGAGGAATGGGGACCCGCAATTTTAATGCTGAGATCATTGACTCATCAAGATTTCCGGTGCAGAAACTGTTCTTTTTCTTGCATGTTTTTCACATCGTAGAAACTGGGGAAAGTGTGTGTGTGTGTGTGTGTGCGTGCATGCACCCACTCATGTGCTTTTCCCCAAAAAACATTTAAATTATTTGAAGCCATCTTATTGAGAGATGATGGACATGCCAGCGAAAACTGCCTCCTGCACCTGTACATCTTGGTTGTTGGAAGATAAGCCTGCGTTTAGTTCTGGTCTCACCGAGAAGCCAGACAGAGGCCTTGCTTAAGCGCAAACAAATACATCTTCCGGGGAAACCCTCCCTGTAAAGGCGTTTGTCCAGTGGACCGAGGGCTCCTGTGCCAGTGGAGGTGCCCTGTGCAGGGTGCGTGGTGCATCCGGGGGCCCTGGCAGCGCTCCGGAGCCGTGAGGGTCTTTGGTGTGAATCCTGCCGAGCTCGTGGGACTCTGGCGTGAGAAAGGGCAGCGTGCCAGTCCCTTCTGTGCAGGAGTCATGGGTTCAAGTCTGGGCTGAGAGCCCCCCTGGAGAAAAGTGGTAGTGGGTTATTGAGAGGATTCATGAGGACATTGATTCTATTTCTGTGTTCTATTTATCCTCTCTTGTTCTCTCTCTCTCTCCCTCCCTCCCTCCCTCCCTCCTTCCTTGGGAAAATTGGGCCTTCTGCTTTAAGTAATTACTAGCTGTGTTTACATCGGAGAATGGAGTGGATACACACATGTCACCCTGTGGAGACCAAACCTCTGTGCCATTGAATGCACGGAGGCAGGACATCATGCACTTGGTAAAAAGGAGGGCATCCTTTTCACCATTTAAAAAATCATGAAAATAATATAACTGCGGCGAATTACGCCTGCGGGCTCTTTCCAGCTGGCCGGGCCGGTCCCAGGATGTTGAAGGCAACCAGACCTGCCTTCCACCATCCGGACCTGAAAACCCATTTCTGCCCCGATCCCGCTTCTTTACATTTTGATAACAGGTCCCCAGATATAAAGGGCTTATGTCTGCAATGCTGATACAGTCTTATTTGTGACGGCCTGAATGGGCCATTGTGCGAGGGAATTAAATAAAAATTGCTGTGTTCACGGGGCCCCGCTTACTTCTTAAGCCTCTTTGCACTTAATGTTACACCGAGAGCTTAAATATCACCCTTTTCTCCGGCGCCGATGGCTGGAGATAGGACTTTAAACCCTGGAGATTCAAAAAAGAAAAAAAAAAGTCTTTCGTCTGATTATTTATTGATATTCACACCACACCCCGTTCGCTAGAAAATGGAATTTGAGTCCTGGGAATTGGATTCTTTTTCCTTTTAATTCACATCTTAACCTCCCCACGCCGGGGACATCTGTTCTGGAGAAGGGAAGCAGTGAAATCCCCACAAGTTTTAAACATGTGTCAAGGTGTTTGTTTATTGTTTGTTTGTTTGTTTTGGGGGGACGACACTCTTTGCCTTCTAACCTCTGACAAAGGCCCCCGGCCGGTGGGGGAATGGTGTGGGGCCACCTCCCTCTGCGATCAGCCTCCATGAGAACCATGGACGTCAAGTTCACGGAACCCTGTGCTTTGTTTTTCCCTCAGGAGCCAGCTGCCAGGTCCCCCCCTCCCCCCATCCCCCTCTGGCCTCCCCTAACCCCGGCGGCCCTTCCCAGGACACCCCCAGCGCCCTCTGCCGGGCCTCGCACTAACCTCCCGCCGTCTGCTCTCTTCCAGTTCGGGAATAACCATAACTACATGAACATGGCCGAGGCCAGCAACGCGTTCTTTGCGGCCAGTGAGGTAGGTGCCCGCCTCCGTGTGTCTGTCCCCGGTCTGCGTGCCTCTTAGGCCATTGAGGAGGCTGGAGGGGGAGAGTAGGGAAGAGAGTGTACCCCTCTCTCCTCACAGAGGAGGAGAAACGAGAAAACCCTATATCGGGAGACAAAAATAGCCTGGCACGTTCTTTTGGTTGATCTCTTCCCGCCCACCCACCCACCCCCACCCCTTCCCTCTGAGATTCCACAGTCGGCTCCATGCTTCTGTGTCTCTGGGTCTATTTTGTTCCATCCATTTATTTTCTTCATTAGATTCCACACGTGAGTGAGGTCATGCGATACTTGTCTCTCTGACTGGCTTATTTCGCTTAGCGTAATACCCTCCAGGTCCCTGCAGGCCAGTGGGCCTCAACCTTCCCAATGCCGCAACCCTTTAATATTGTTCCTTATGTGGTGGTGACCCCCAACCATAAAACTATTTTCATTGCTACTTCATAACTGTAACGTGGCTACTGTTATGAATCGTGATGTGAATATCTGTGTGTTCCAAAGGTCTTAGGCAGCCCATTTGAAAGGGGTCGCATCCCACAGGTTGAGAACCACAGGAAGGTTGAGAACCACTGTTTCATGCTGTCACAAAGGGTGGGAGATCCTTTTTCAGGGCTGCGTAGTATTCCATGGTGTATATGTACCCCAGCTTTTCATCCCCTCGTCTACTGATGGGCCATTCCCAGATCTTAGCTATGCAAACGAGCCAAAACAGTGAGACTGGTCCACATGGAGCCACTTGTCAGCTCCTGCCATAAAAAGCGTTCAGTTTCCAAATGTCTTCAAATACAGGAAGCCCAAGAGCTTCACCACTCTCCTCCATCCCCCCATCCCAAGAATGAAAATCATGGTGGCTTCCTCAGTCATCTTGGTCCAAGGAAGCAAATGGTGTGAATGCAGTGAACATGGAGACATCATTAGAAAAAGGTGGAGAATGCAGAGTTCAGGGCGATTGTAGACGAGACACTTTCTCCGGTGACCATCCTCTCTCTCCCCGAGGAGACAGCCCGGAGGAGGGAGCAGTGTCTGGCACTGGCTGCTGGGCGGAGAGTGACAGCGAGCACAGGCCCCATCTGTAAGGACAGCACGATGCTTCGTTCTGTAGGTTTTTTTCCCCTCCGCTGGAATCAAACATTGACGAACACTCGGCTGGCAGCAGCTGCGCGGAGACAATTTAATTCCAGCTGTGATAATTCACCGTGTCAGGCAGTGGCTGTTATGTGTTGATACAACAGCTCTCCAGATTTGCATTTTTATCAAAAAGGAACAAATGTTTTGAACATTTCGGTGCAGATGGTATTTAAGCATGCACACACTCCTTAAAACGTGTTCAAGGTAAACACGGCGAAGGCAATGGCTCTGAGAAGCCATCCTCGGAACGCTATATGATTAATCCGATCTCGGTCGGAAGGCAGATTGTCCAAAATTCGGTAACTTTTTGTTTTTTATTTTTGGTGTGTGGATGGTACGTGGTTGCTTTTATAACCTCAGATAACCAGTACGTCTTCGTTATGTTTTTCTCTAAGGAATGCTCAGCCCTGAATTGAATCTATCGCTTCTCTTTAAAAGCGGTAGAAGATTCTAGCATTTTCTTGGTTGTGCGCTGTAATAGAATTTTATCGTCTGGTTTTATTAGGTTTACGATATATAGTAAGTAGTGTGCTAAATTCTCCCTCAAAGTTATCTTGTCCTTTATAAAATTATACAGTAAGGGTGTTATATTCGTATATATGACATCTCTGGATTCCTTAAGAAAAAGAAGAATGAAAACCTCTTTAATTTTGACTGCCTAGCGTACGATGTGCTTATGGGAGAGTTTAAGAGGCAATCTTATGCAATGATTTTTCGGAACATTTTCTTTTTCTTTGAACAAGAAAATAAAGCCCAAGTAAATCGTAGCACACTACATTATAACCTGTGCCTCATCTCCCAGTCACTACATTAAAAGTAAATTTATTTGTTGTTGTTGTTTTTCTTAACATTTTAATGGCGCAGACTAATTCAAGAAGCCTTTAGGTTTGGTGCAGTCACGTCAAAATGGTGCCCCAAACAACCCCCCTTCACTTAGCGATTGCCCCGTAGCTGATACCCTGGGGACCGGGATCCTCTGAGTTTGAAATTCACACATTGGCTGCGTGTTCTCTGTCTGCGCCATGATTACCCTGACCGTGTTGAAAGTCCTTTAAATATTTATTGAAATAATATTTCAAGCGTTAATTACAACGGTAATGAAAACAGCCAAATGCCACATATCAAGAACGAGTGTTTATCCATATTGTTAATGTGATATGTTAGATTTCATTAAGCAGTAATGGGGTAGCAAATGAGTCACAAATTACAGTTGCATCTGTTAGTGCACCGCGTCAGTGCCAGCATAGCAGCCACGGCTGCCATAGGCCGACACTCACCAGCCAACCGCCCTCGCGGCCAGCACATCCCATTGTGTTTGAGGACTCAGGGAACCATCCTCAGAAACCAGACTCTTTTTTGCGGGGGAGAGGAGGGGTCATTATTCAAATAAATATGTCAGAAAATCTAATAGTTGCATTCTAGCTTTCAAATGCGTTGCTAGGCAACCAAGTTCTGCATCTGTTGAGTCTACAAAGGACGTGAGATGTCCGATGGTCTTGCCATGGGACCGACTCCCTTGTCTCGTGACCTGTTTACTTCCGGTGAGATTAGACATCCCAGCCGGCTGGTTCAGTATGCAGGGAAAGGGGTGCTTCCCCGCCACCCTCCTTCATTTTGTTTCTCTTTTCTCTCAAGTGGCTATTAAGTTCTATTATCAATTCCTGGTTTGAATAATGGTGATTGCCAGCTCTAAGTGAGTTCTGAGGGCAGAGTCAAATGATCTTGCATCAGTTCACTCTTCAAAAACGTTATTAGTAATAAAAGGACTGTACATCGGACCCTCTGAGCTGAGGATTAAAAAAAAAAAATCTGAGGGGCCTCGCATCCTCTTCACTGTGGCCAAAATAGCCTTCTAACCTGGACCACCCTCCTTACTCCCAACCCAAGTTCAAGTTTCAGAAAGGTGGCTAGTCCTGGTTTATATCAAAAGGCCCATAGTTGCCGAAACCGGTGTGGCTAAGTGGATAGAGCGTCAGCCTGCAGACTGAAAGGTCCCAGGTTCGATTCTGGTCAAGGGCATGTACCTTGGTTGCGGGCACATCCCTGGTAGGGCGCGTGCAGAAGGCGATGTTTCTCTCTCATGGATGTTTCTCACTCTCTATCCCTCTCCCTTCCTCTCTATAAAAAAAATCAATTAAAAAAGAATAAAAAATTAAAAAACCTTCATAGCAATAAGCCAATAAACTCTCCGTGTTGTTTAAGTAAAAACACTGGAACATTCTAATAGATGCTCGGAAGATGGTCCTTAATGAAAACGTTGCATGACAAATCAGTAACAATTTCCATAGAAGCTTTTTCCCCCCCGCCCACTGGGGAATATATCAATGAGGAAGTTGAAAAAAGTAAACCACAGATTTCATGTGACTTGTTTTACATGTTGTGACAGAGAGTGAGCACGTGTGATGCTCACTGCTGGGTTTGTGCGGCGTGTGCGTGCGTTTTTACGAAGCATGTGGGTAATGGAGAGTTTGGGCTGTTTCCCTAACATATCAATAAAGTGGCAGTTTGTTATATAGCCAAGCCTAATGTCACTGCTGCTCCGACTAGCAACAGAGACAGATGCTGCTAATTAAGTACGCATTAAAAAACGGTTAATACGGATAGTCTATTAAAACCATATGATAATGAGACTTAAATCTTTAATCGGAATGATCAGCAAAAACTTTCTGCGTGCAAATCTGTGCTTGAGACGTTTCCGCTAGAGAAGTAAATATTTGGCCTCGCCGCGGAGTTGTTTTCATGCAAACACCTCGCTGCTGCTCTCCAGGGGGAAGCAAAGACACAGGAATGGCCGAAACCAGTTTGGCTCAGTGGATAGAGCGTCGGCCTGCGGACTGAGGGGTCCCGGGTTCGATTCCCGTCAAGGGCATGTACGTTGGTTGTGGGCACATCCCCGGTAGGGTGTGTGCAGGAGGCAGCTGGTTGATGTTTCTCTCTCATCGACGTTTCTAGCTCTCTATCCCTCTCCCTTCCTCCCTGTAAAAAATCAATAAAAATATTTTTTAAAATTTATAAATAAATAAAGACACAGGAACGGAGCGTGAGGCGGCTCTGAGTTCTGTTTCCTTTTGTTTTGCAGACGTTCCACACGCCGAGTCTCGGGGACGAGGAGTTTGAGATCCCCCCCATCACGCCTCCGCCCGAGTCGGACCCCGCCCTGGGCCTCCCCGACGTGCTCCTGCCCTTCCAAGGCCTCAGCGACCCCGGGCCCGCCCAGGGCAGCGAGTTCGCCCCCCAGTTCCCGCCGCAGAGCCTGGACCTGCCGTCCATCACCATCTCCAGGAATCTCGGGGAACAAGACGGCGTGCTCCACAGCGGCGGGGCGCACATGGTAGGCGGCGAGCGGACCGCGTGGAAGCTTTTCCTCCTCTGAGCTGCTGGTGGGCTCTGACACCCGTGTTCTGTCTTCCGGGGGGGCGCGGGGACTGGGTTTCCTCCCGCCGATTCCAGATCGATCCCTGGTATTGGCAAGAGGGCGCGGGGTTGGCGGATAGTCACTTAGGAAAGAGGACCATCCCACAAGGTCTTTCTGATCCGAAAGGATTTTTTATTTATTTATTATTTATTTATTTATTTAATTTAATTTTTTAAAATATATTTGATTTTTTACAGAGAAGAAGGGAGAGGAATAAAAAGTTAGAAACATCGATAAGAGCTGAAACCAGTTTGGCTCAGTGGTAGAGCGTCGGTTTGCGGACTGAAAGGTCCTAGGTTCGATTCCGGTCAAGGGCATGTACCTTGGTTGTGGGCACATCCCCGGTAGGGGGTGTGCAAGAGGCAGCTGGTCGATGTTTCTCTCTCATTGACGTTTTTAACGCTCTATCCCTCTCCTCCTCTCTGTAAAACATCAATAAAATATATTATAAAAAAAAAAAAAAAAGAAACATCGATGAGAGAGGAACATCGACCAGCCGCCTCCTGCACACCCGCTACTGGGGATGTGCCCGCAACCAATGTACATGCCCCTGACCGGAATCGAACCTGGGACCTTTCAGTCCGCAGACCGACGCTCTACCACTGAGCCACACCAGTTTCGGCCGGAAAGGATTTTTAAAAGTCAGGTTCATTGGTTTCATAGCAAGCCATCTTCCCAGGCCTTGGGTTGGGCAGACAGAGGGACTTGAGTTACAAGGTTGCCCAGGTGAGAGTTTAGAAATGGTAGCCCTTACCAAGCGCCTAGGTCAGTGATCAGCAAACTCATTAGTCCACAGAGCCAAAATCAACAGCGCAATGATTGAAATTTCTTTGAGAGCCAAGTTGTTTAAACTTAAACTATATAGGTAGGTGCATTGTTATTAACTTAATTAGGGTCCTCCTAAGCTGGCCTTCGCTAAAAACTCAAGGGGCCAAAGAGCCGCCTGTGGCTCGAGAGCCGCAGTTTGCCGACCACTGGCCTGGGTCGTTTGCGTTTTGTGGGTTTATAACATCCCGTTTATGATACACAATCTGCTCCTACCTCAGGCGCAATATCCAACTGTGATACAGAGAAAGGGGGAAAGAATCATGGCTTACAACCAGCAGAGGAAAATATAGATCCGGTGATTGTGTGAAATATACCTAATGGCATTATTTATTGTCATAAACACGGAATAAGGCACTCCAGAGAGCCAAGATTGCTAACGCAATCATTTTGGTTCTATTTTTTCTTAGTGAGCAATTACAGTCTGCGATCGCCAGAGGAAAATCTCCTTAAGTATTTTAAACGCTTCTGCTGGGATTTAATTTTTTTCCCCCCACCATGGGATAGAAAGCATTTGTGTCTGTCTAGGTGAGGTACTAAGCAGGCATGTTCAAGCAAGATGAATAGTTTAGAAGGCCCTTTTCAAAAACCCTGATGCAATGAAATAGATGTAGATGTGTTGGTATAACAAAGACACAGATCCTCGTGCTTGTTGACATATTTCTCTGCATGCCAGGCCCATGGCCAGTAATGCTTACCGGGTTCTTGGTTAATTCCCCAGAGAACAACACACAATTGCAAAGTGCGGAGTGGATCAGGAAGATTACTTTCCCAATAGGATGGCGGCAGCATCTTTTCCTCTGCCTATGATCTTTTGTGCTTGAGCTGAACATCGGAGTTGATTTTTTTTATTTTTATTTTTTTTGTCGGAAAAGAACACAGCCCACAGTAGGGAAAGGGTCATTTACTATTCATACACGTTCCCCGCCATCACAAAGAATTGTTTCCTGTGGACTTGCTGACATGTATGTCCCTTTGACCCAGGCAGGGAGGGTCCCGTCTCCTCCTCCACAGTCAGGCTTGCCGTGGTGAGCCTGGGAAGTGATAATAAAAATAAAGAGGGTGTTGAGTCCTCAAGGGTCTTAGCCGGGGCTCCCCATTATCCACAGATGCTCAGCGAGGCCTTTCAAGTCTCGGAAATAGTTAAAAGGCCCTATCATGTGTGCTACCGCGTGTACTTGATTCAATTGGCAAATATTTATTATTAATCATCGAAGAATCTGCCTTTAAGTGAAACATCGGATGAATTATCTTCCCTTTAAGCCCCAAACCTGTTATTGCTGCTATAAAAAAAAAAAGAAAAAAAAAGAAAAAAGAAAAAAAGAACGTGTAAAGGAGGCATTTTGACTATGAAATTTCATTTCATGGTCAATCGCATTTGCCGCATTGGGAAGAACTAAAGATGGAATCATAAAATAATTATGATATTCGCATCCACTTCGAGAGCGATGCTTTGGCGGGCTGGCGTCGGGAGGGGGGACTCAATTTTTAATGCTGCTTTCCTGATGTATTGCCGATCACTAACGCAGCCGAATTAGCCCATTGATTTTTCATCGGCTAAGCACGTTAGCTAAGTGTATGCGTGTCAGCGGACCTCGTCCCACCCGTCGGCGCGTTGCTGAAGTTTGGGATATTTATTTGGGCTGGAAACTAACTCATCTCGTTGAAAAGTGGCCTAGAGTTTCACCTTGAAGAAACGGCAGTTTAGCTCACAAATCTTGTGGGGAGGGGAGATCGGTGGAGTGAAATGTACCCAGACAAGACGATGATGCATACCCCGTGTCGCTGGCTTTGTTCTATGTATGACGTGACATGCTCACCTATAAAATGGAATCTGGAGTCGCCGGAGATTAAAAATAGGTCGCATCAAGGCTCCCCCGGCTCCCTCGGGGCACCCAGCTGGCCGGCGACATCATTACGGTCTGTGGCAGGGAGGTCATCGGGAACATGACACATCGTACCGCCCCCATCACGCATGCGGCGTCCCCGGGTGCATGGAAATCTCATGCCTGGTGCACATCGGACGTGTGAGGGTCCGGGGAAGAGGCTGTCTTCAGGATGACGGGGGTGGAGGAAGACCATCCTACAGGAGGCATTTTTGTGTCGCATCACAGCACCTCTCCTTCAGAAACCATTGGCTTTCCTTTATACCAATCTTTTGTTGGCAACAGACACAACATGTCCGTCTTCCCAGAACGCATGCTGTTGTATTTTAAAACAGAGAGCAGGAGCAAATGGGAGGGGGGTGGTGAAGATGAATCCAACGAAGCAGACGCCTAGAGACGGAGCACAGACTGACAGCTGTCAGAGGAGAGAGGGGCGGGGGGCTGGGTGGAAAGGTGAAGGGTTTGAGCAAAACAAAACAAAACAAAACAAAAACCTACAAATGCCCACAAAAATCAAACAAAACACATAACAACAAAACCCAGACCAGACAACAGTATGGGGATTAGCAGAGCTGAAGGGGGTGGAGGGAGGTAGAAGAGGGTAGGTACAGCGGGGATAAATGGTGATGGAGGGAGCCTTGACTTGGGGTGATCAACACACAATACAGTTTGCAGGTGATGTATTATAGAATCGTACACCTGAGACCTATGTAAATTTATTCACCACTACCCCCCCCCAATCAATTCAATACAAATGAAAATAAATAAAAATAAAAAGACAACACTTAAAAATAAAACACCCTGAGTCCAATCATCAGGATTCGCAATGGGAATATGCAAATAACGCGCTGGTAGTCAAAAACATATTGTTGAAAATCGGAAAGTCGGTGCATGTGTGACTTCAAAGAAAAACCTCCATTTGCTTGTGGTGAAAACGTGGCTATCAAAGCAGCATGTGGTTGGCGAGTAGAAACCAACAGTCCATTTTGGTTAAAAAAAAAAAAAAAATTCCTCACCTCTACGCATTATTGCCAGTTCAGATGATCATCTGGAAATTATTTTAATCTGCAAAAGATTGCAATCTGCAAAATCTACAAGGAGCACGCCCGAGGGCTCTGTGGGTTTCTCTTCTATCGCCTCTCTGTAATCCGCCCGGCCTGCTGAGTAGCAGCGACATCGGTAGTACATCAATTTCAGAAAGTGGATTATTTTTACTAGACAGCTATTGTGACATATTGGGTCAGTCATAAATGAAAGATATTCATGCAAGCATGCAATACTTGTAATGAAGTCTCACTCTGACCTTCTGTATGATTGATTCTGTAATTTAGTTTTCTCAGGCAGTGCCTGAAATGAAATGAAATCATGTTGAACAAGTTTTGAATACCCACAGTGCACCAGGAGAAGAAAAATCTACAGCCCTAGAGGTTTGAGGGAGAGCCGCTGAACGATTTATCTCTATGCTATTATAGCCTTTGCGAGCATTCAACATTCTCTTTTTTTTTTTTTCCCCCTCCTTTCCCTTATTTGGCTTAAGTACTTAATTCTGCAGGTAGCTGTAAATGGGAAAATAAAATGCTGTTCAGATTTAAAATGACAGGACAGGAGTATGTGCAGGGAACTGATAAAATATCTTGAATAGAACTGACCTTTCATGTAGCTGAAAGTTACTGGGGGATTCATCCTCATAATTACCATATAGATTATTTTTATTTCTTTCCTGCAATGAAACATTTCAGGGAGCAGGAGTGCTGATTGAATGAAAATTGAACTTGTTAACATTCTTTTCAGCTGAGCCTGTTGTACATAACAGAAGGTTGGCTTTGATGAATTTCAAAATTCCCTTTGATAGCCAGGAAACAGACAGGGAAATAACGGTCTCTTGTCTGATATTTTGTACGCCCCGCCCCCGAAAGAGAATTTATAAAACACCGATAATTCCCAGGCGTGTTCTTCATGCATTATCGCTCCTCTTTGGAGGACGGACATTTTCTGCTGGGCATGGGCCCTGGGTTTAAATGTGGTAGCACATGTTTATAGAAAAATGCCACCTGGGAGCTCTTGTAACATCAAACATCGCATTAGAAAATTGAAAAAGATGGAAGTAAGGGGGTGGGGGGGCATATTTGAATATCTGCTTTGTATCTGTTAAGGAAAGAGAGAAAGAGAGAGGAAAGTCCAAATAGGCAGCGAGCCTGCAGAGAC